AAAAAGTATTCAATACGGAAAAAAGTATTATACTTTTAGTTTTTACTCAAATACTTTTTAACACTGTTGATTTCTCTTATCAGTTCTAGTCTTATCAAAAGTACCGAGTTACAGTTGGCTCTAATAAGACCGCTAACAGCAACAGCTGTCTAGCACTGCTTTAGAGTTTAGATTGACGCCGTTCTGAAGCCGTGGTAACACTTTAGTACTTAACCAGTACAGAAAAATTGTCCCGATAATATGCTAATACCTATATGGGCAGTTAGGTTAGTTAGCGTTAGCATAAATGCATAATATTAACATTCTTATGCGTACAGTGTATTTCTGTGAGCTCACGGTTCAAGCAGAGTTCAAATCTTATAATATTATCATTGAGTGACTTTGTACTTATTACCTACTTTTGAATTCGACGTCTTTCAAATTTTTGTATGAGCAGTACAATAAGAAATATTGTTTCAAATTTGTCCATCTGTACACTTTCGACATGTTACCTGGAAAACTAGCTTTTGTGACCGGTAAGTGTGATTGTAAATATCTGAAGTAAGATGCTATTGTTGTACCTACTAATTAAAATAAAATGTTTTGTTTGCAACACACACAATGGGGACCGGAGGAGAGGCAATGCCAACGGCAGTTCCTCCTACGGTCCTCGATTCCACTAAAAAAAAAAAATATATGTGAAATATATAAAAATAAATATGATTGATTTCCACTAAATTTATATACATTGTATGTTGTAGGAGCCGGAGGAGGTATCGGTAGAGCGATTTGTCGTGTGATGGCTAGAGAAGGTGCTACAGTAGTAGCGGCAGACTTAAACATAAACAATGTTCAGACCACTGTTGATGAGCTCACAGGTAGAATTCATAACTTATTAGCAATAGAATTTAGCAAAACAAATTTTAGGTGAAGGTCACAAAAGTTATCAATTGGATGTGTCCGATGCTGAGTCCGTCACAAGTGTATTAAAACAAGTGTTTACGGATTATTCTGCGCCGCCGACTGTAGTGGTCAATGCTGCGGGAATCACAAGAGACAATTTCATGTTAAAAATGTCTGTGCAAGATTTTGAGAGCGTATTTAATGTTAATGTAAAGGTAATAGAGCAGTATAAGAAAATCAACCTTCTGAATTCAATATTTTATGTGTATCTATGTAAATATTAAAATTGTATCTTAATATTTAAAGGGAACTTTTCTTATCACCCAAACCATTTGTAAAGAACTGGTAGAGAAGAACTTGCCTGGTTCCATAGTAAATATTGGAAGTATAGTTTCACAACGTGGTAACATAGGACAGTGCAATTACTCGGCTAGTAAGGCTGCCGTTGAAGTCTTCAGTAAAACGGTAGCATTAGAAATGGCAAAGTTAGTTAAATTTTAATTTTTAATGTCTACAATGTTTTTAAGTTATATACATTCAGAACAAAACACTGACACTTTTTCCAGATTCATATCTAATTTAAAGTCATTATCAATCCTCTTATTTCCCTTCTCTCTGTATTAAATACATTCATTACCATAGGGCATTATTTTCCCATAATTAGTTTTGTCTGGATTCCTTATTAAAGTTATGTACATTACATTACACTGATAAGCTAAGCACTATATTTATATTTAGCTTGCAAATTCTTTAACCACCTGTCATCATATTGAAAATGTAGAATGTGTATAATATTTGTAGATATAGATAGGCCAAGGCTAGGAATATCTTAATTTTAACCTATACAAAAAAAATTGTATGGTTTTATTAAAATTGTATTGTTTTACTAATAGATATAACATCAGATGTAACACAGTGTTGCCTGGGTTTACAACCACTCCAATGACTGACATGATACCTGAGAACATTAGAGAACATTTTAAGTCTGTCATTCCCTTGAAGAGGTTTGCCAATTCTGAAGGTAATCACTTTTGAAACATTAGACATATATTTATATTCATTATCATAATGAAAAATTCATGTGTGAACCAAATCAGTTCATTTTTACTAAAAAATATTGTCATCTAAATATCTAACTCTACTTTTAATGTTCTTTTTTTATTTGTGTATACTAAAATATGTATAATATTGTTTTTTTAAATATTATATTCAAAATAAAATTAATGTTTATATTATAGGTATTTAACTCTAAAAGCATATATTTTATAAAAAAAATTGTTATTATTAATTATTCATCTATAAAAGCAGAAAGTCATTGAGAGACTATTGCATAAAGTAGATAGGTAAGATGTCATAAAATAACTCATCGTTTGTTAAATTTCACTTAATTTTTTTAATACCTGACATCACCACATATATAAACAGTTATTATTCTTCATTTATATTTAAGTACCAAATCATAATAAAATTACTCATTAATATTATACAAGGTAATTAGTCTTTAAGGTATAGTATTATTTTAATTGAAATGATAAGCATTTTCTTAAAAAAGTAAATATCCATATATTCTTATCTATGTTGGTTGCATGTCTAAATTACTGGAACTGAAATCAACCATATATTGGTATTAGTATGTATGAGTACAGCCTTAAAACTGTTTTATATACTTATACTTATACTTATACTTTTAAATACAATGTACCCATAATTATGTTTACTAAGCTTATATTAACACATTACACCTCTTCTATTAAGAGTGTTGTACAAATGTTGAGTATTGGTTATTGGTATTCAAGAACTTTATCAACTATTAAATACTACCAATTAACATGTATTTGAGTACATTTTAAATACTGTTTTACCCTATTAAATACTTTTTTTTGAATTTTAATTTAAAATATTTGGAATCGTTGTAATAAACAGTCACCACTAAAATCTTATTTTTTTTACATGCTGCTACTAATATAACTGATACTAATTTTGAGCTTACAATGTTTTTGAAATATAATACACATTTCAATGATAGGTATAATAGTTTTATTAATTATTGATACAGTGATATTATATTATCATAATTTAAATTATAATTTATATCAGATGAATTTTAACCAGTTCAAAACACTAGGTTGTTATTAATTTTAATGTTCAGAAACATATCGTTTTTTTTTTATACATATTATACTAGTCAGTAAATCTATTAAACTATCATTAAAATAATAATAAGAGTAAATCGTGAAATTTAGTTCTATATTTTGTGCAATCAATATACTATGGTGATGTGGTCAACCTTTGAATATAAAATCATTTTTAGTATCATCATAAAAACTTTTGGGTTCATGGAATCAATTTTCTTTTGTCTAATTCAAATTGTCATTCTTTAAATTACATTATATTAATAATAAATTGTCATTTATTTTAAAAATGCTGTTAGTGGTATATATTATTAAAATTAATTAATTGAAAAAAATATAGCTTTAATTTCAAAATTAATTGTTGTTTCCAATGTATGGAAATAATTTAAAAAATATATTCTTATCAAAATTATTATTTATGTTCTAAATATATATATATATAATATATGTTGAAATAGAACACTGTTTGATTTGATGTTTAATTTTAATTTTACAGAAATAGCGGAAGTAGTAACATTTTTGGCGTCGGAAAAGAGTTCATACGTTACTGGTACGTCAATTGCAGCTAGTGGTGGTTATTAATAATTTTATTTTTATCAATTATGTAGCTTTTTTACAGGATAAAATTTTGGTGATTATCATTTTTAAATATAAAATACTTGTTATGTTATTTATTGTTGTATGAGCATACTGTATCAATGCTATTATTATGAATAGTCTTTATTTTTTTCATTAAATATTTTGAATTTAAAAAATATATAATAAATATTTTATTTGTATTTATTATGTATATTATACATAGACCATAGACGTGCGCAGATTTATATTTCTGGTCGAACCTAGGCAATTATAGTGCCCTAATATTTGGACAGCACCCCTAATTTTTTTTTAACACCATCTACAGTACTATAGTTATTGTATTTGTATAAAGGTACCTATAATGTTTTTGTTATAGATTAATAAAATGTTTAAATGTATGTACCTAGTGGTACCTAGGTACACAGAAATATTTTTAATTTGTGCAGTCGATTTATACTTTCACGGCAAACAAAATTTTCATAATCTCCACGAACATATTATTATAATATAAGCATTATAATAAAATATTTAAATATACGCATATTTTACCATGCCCCTAAAAAGTTTCAGATCCAGCCTGAGCTTGACCGGCTCGCCCCGTATGCTATTATATAGATGATTTTTGAGTATTCATATTTTTACCTTTTACCCAATGACAATTCATACTATTTCTTCTGTATATGTAGTTAGAACTTCCATTTAATCTTTAAATTTATATATTCCTTTAAATATAATAATTCTGTTTCAAAGTTCAATTATTGTAGTGCTTAGTGATTCTTCTTGGATGTCAGCGCATTGCAACATAGAAAATGTGTGGTCAGTAGAAACAACCTTGTGTTGTTAGCATTAGTATTATACTTAACATCAAACTTAAAGATATGAACATTATTTGTGTCTTTTTACTATGATTAATTTGTTTAGGAAGATTTGAGTTATTTTAAATCATATTATTTTACATACTAATAAAATTGAAATTTAGTTAAACTTCCTAAAATAGCCTAACTTCCTATTTTAAGTGTGGGTTGAGGAGTGAAAACAAGATAACAACATCTTCTTGAGATATTAATTCAATTTTTAAAATATGTGAAGAATATTAATTAGCAAATTTATTTTGAACAAGATGAAGACTAAATTGTTGTTAATTTTAATATTAATTGATTTATCAATTATGCGTTATGAAAGTGTAATAATAATAATATCATCAATGGTTATAACTTATAAAATATAACAATATTTAATCAATAATAGTATTTTATACACGTGAAACATAATATTATAATATATTATATGGGCACATAGAGAAATTTCTGTTATCTTACTGGAAATTCAATTTCAATGTGATCTTGAATTTTACTATTTTGTTGATAGAGTAATGATCATATTCCTAGATTCAGTTTAAATATCTGATTAGATAATAACCACAAATACATTTTAAAATAATACCAAAGAGGAATTTAAGTAACCCTATACTAATAATTAGTGGGAATTAATAATTTAATATTGTGTGACGTTAATTAAGTTGCCTATCTCCAAATTGTACCTATATGTTTTTTTAGAGCTACTAAAAGATGGTTTACCGAATGTAAAAAGCATAGGTTATAGAAAAACCATTTCTCTGAGTCTCAAAATCTAAAAACAAAATGAAGTCAATCTGATGTATAGTTGATATAAGGTAGTAATAAGCATAGGCATGACTAGACTTCATCAGCAGGGGCAGCCTAGCTAATGATCGGCGCTACCTTATTAGTGAACCAAAAAAGCCCTATACACCCAAAGCTGTATTTTTTAAACCCCCCCCCCCTCCACTATGAAATATTTATATAATTAAAAAAAAGTCTAAATTATCTATTTACAATAATAAACTACAGTAACCTCGAAAATATTATTCATCTATAGGCCATAGGGATAAAAATTCGGAAAAACTCGGAAAAATGTCCGAAAAAACCGAATTTTTGGAAAATTAAAAAATTGTATTTACGCTTAAAAATTAAAATAAGTAAAAAAAAAAACGTGGTTTTAAATGAAACCAAATTTTTCCAATTTTTCCGAAAAAAAACTGTAAAAAACTCAGTATTTTTTCGGAAATTTTTATCCCTATTTATCTACAGCCTTGAATCATACCACTTAGCTACAAATCAAACATAATACAACAATAATATCAATAATACCTAGACGCATACCGTACCGTCGCCGTCTGTCTCAAGTCTTTATAGTAGGTTTTTCCTATTTCCGAAGTCAGGAAATCAATTTGACAATACATGTTAAATAAAGAAATTAGTTACCTGATTTTGTTGAACATATCTTTGTAAGTAAATGTTAATTATAACGATAAATACAAAAAAATCAAGTTTTAAAAAAAAATAAATGTTGTGACCTCTCTGATTTAAAACTAGGTTAACAGGTAGGTACCTTTCAAAAATTGCAGGGGCAGCCCAGGAACTCTAGCGCTGCCACCGTAGACACGCCTATGGTAATAAGTGTCGATAAAACATTTAACGCTTGGTCAAAATATTTGAAAATTAAACACAAGTCTCCTCATAAGTTGTTGTTAGTAGAAATTAAAAGAAAATTTGAGCTTAAATATACCATAAATGTTGAGTGTTTATTTTATGTTAAAAATTCTTAAGAATTTTTCTATTTGGGATATCTAAGATTTTAAATATTAATTAATACATTTTTTTTTGTGTTTGAAATTAATTTATTTCGACATTGGAGACAATGACAATGAAAATAGTTCAAAGAAATTAACATTAAAGTTTGAATTTAATATTTTATGACTATATGGATATATGTGAATATAAAATTGTATCATTATATTATTTAAAGGGAACTTTTCTTATCACCCAAACAATTCATAGAAAACTGGTGGAGAAGAACTTGGTAAATATAAAATATTGGGAGTATAGTTGCACAACGTAGGACAGTATAATTACGTGGCTAACAAGGCTGCCGCCTGCCATTGAAGTCTTCAGTAAAACAGTTGCATTAGAAATGTCAACGTTCGATAAACTTTAATGTATACAATGGTTATTAAGTGTACCTATGGTCTTATTAAAATTGTATTGTTTTACCAATAGACTCTAGACACAACATTCGATGTAGGACTGTGTTGCGGCGGTTTACAATCATTCCTATGACTGACATTGTATCTGAAAACACTAAAGATCACTTTAAGTATGGTTTGTCATTCCCTTGAAGAGATTCGCTGATTCTGAAGGCACCTAATAACTTTTGAAACATTTGAGTATTAGACATATTATATTCAGGTTAAAATAAACTTTACTGGCTCCTCACAATTTTCAATTTTTTAAAGCGACTCGTTTTTTATGCTTAGATCGATGGTGTAAAAATCGTATTCTGGAAATTTTTATTTTAGAAAAAATAGCTGTTTCAAGTTCGTATTTGTATGGTAAATAGCAAATATTTACGTATAATACGTAAATGCATAAATATATAAGTAGGTATACGTATTGCAAATGTGCCGTTAAACTCATTAGGTAGATTACTACGCGTGTAATAATATTATAAGCAAATAGGTTACGTCATTACAAAGGTGTAATATTGTTGAGTTATGAGAGTATTAGAGTATTAAATCAATTAAAATACTCGTATGTTTCATAAGTAGGTATAGGTTAATAAATAAATATTGTAATTTCTGTATTTTAAAAAAAAAATAATAATAATAATATATTAAGAAGATACTATAATCATAGTATAATTTATAATAGGTAAGTATACAAATTCGAATCTCGTAATCCAATAATTCTCCCTCACGACCCCGAAAGTATTGCTGTTTTTGGCGTCTGAAAGGCGTTCTTATGTTACTGGTGCATCAATTGTAGTTAGTGGTGGTTATTAATATTAATATTATTATGTATAGCAATATTAGCAACAATATTTGTACGGAACAAAATGTAATGAAAAATCGTTTTTAAATATAAAATAGGTAGGTACCTACTTGTTATGTTATTATAATAATTGTTTTATGTGCATATTACTGTATCAATGCTAATATTATGAATAGTCTTTATGATTTTAATTATAGATTTAGAATTTAGAAAAAATATAATTATTCTATTTATTTAATATTTAATATTTTTGTATTTATACTTTGAATTATGAGTTATGACATTGGATCTATAGACTATAATAATTTTATCATTGAATATAAAATAAAAAAAAGGTGCTCAGGTGTACAGTAGGTTACAAGTCGGTCACTGTATAATGGATGGTATTAAATTTGAATTCAATTATATAATATCATTGTATAAGAAAAACGATTCTGAGCGGAGACGGTATGTCAGTCTAGATTTAAGACATATTATATACATACCTATGGTATTTACAAAAATATTGACCTATAATAAATACCTATAGTAAATTCCAAATAAATCATATCACAATATCCATTATAGGTACCTACTTATAAGTTATAACGTGTTATACATCATTACATCAATAACAAACCGTGATGGTGATACTATCATAAATATATAGTAGTAAACTTTAGACGTTTCAAGTACCCATGAATAATATTATACAATTGCAACAAAATAACTAAAATAGTTATTCTAGGATTTTTACACTTTTTGGCCCAACCGATAAAACTTTATTGATATTTGTAGAAAAAAAAACACTAAAGGAATTGAAAACTGAAAATGTCCTTAAAGAGCTCAAAAAGAGTCAAAATATTTTCAAAATTGTATGGTGTATAGGAAATGCTAATATAAACATTCAGTGGAATTTTCATGTATTTCTAGTTATTCGTTTTTGAAGTACAACAAAATAAGGAAATCGCTACATGAGAAATCGAGTGAATATCCAATGTTGTAAAAATTTGAATTTCAAACGATCATAAAAATTTAATTTGACTTCTTATAGACATTTTTTTTTGATAAAGGTATCTACCTTATAAGGAATCTTGTATTACATTTTCAAATCTTAGATTTAAAAAGAAATATTTTTACGAATTCTTAACTCAAAATAATTTGCTAATTTTCGTG